GATTTCAATAATACTATCCTATTCTTTGTTATATCAAATTTTTTTTTTTTTGTTTTTTTTTCTTTTTTTTAGTTTGTTTTTTAATATACAACCTAACTTAAACACTCCAAACTATAACCAATTATACATTTATAAATTGCAAACTACCCAGTACCAAAAGTTCTATAACAAGAAAATCTTATGCAAAGAGTGTATTAAATCATAGAAAGAAATAAAACACAAATCAATGTATAAAAAAGAAAATATTATCAAAAATTTTCTTACAATACCTATCTTCCAACCCTCCAACACGATTCAAACTACTCAAAATATCAGTACCATCCCATTACATAAATGCGAATAATCAAGGAGATAGTTATTCCTTATTTGCTTTTAGCAAATACATCTGTACAAAAGCAAGCTGTAAAAGTTATCAATAATACAAATAAAAAGTTTGCTAAGTATCAGAGAGTGTATAACTTGACTAGTAACTAAGAAGAATAGGAAGATTTAATGAATCAAATTCAACAACTAAAACAAAATCTTTCTAATAAAGATAAACATGTTAAGCATCTAAAAAATCAGGCAAAGAATAGACGCAAAAGTATTAAAAAGGATTATTATTCTATATTTTTTATTTTTTATTTTTTTCTCTTAATTTGAATACCAATACTTACTATTTCTGGCTCTATATTAGAAATGACCTTTTAAAAGAACAGCAAACAGTCATTAAATATGATAAGCCAGACCACTTGTTTTTCTTACAAAAACATCCAAACTTACTTGACCATATACATGAGAGCATTGAATTCAAGACCGCAGATGAAAAAAGAAAAAGAAAAGTGGTGAAAGTTAAAACTGTTAATAACTTTGCAGATAATCTTAGAAAACATTATAATAAATATATTTCTAGAACTACTATAAATAATTATCTCTTACTATCTCAATCAAATTCGATTGCTACCAAAGTACATCATCATTCTGCCTATATCGTAGTTTCAACTATATCCTGAATTGACACAAGTGAGCATCTAGATGAGCATTATTGTCATGTCTTCGTGAAAGTGACAAGACAATTTGCTTTCTTATTTTCAAAGTTTTCAGTTGTCATCTTACAAGATGATAAAGCCAAGGTTCCTCTTGGTATTTCAGCAGTTAGTAGAAAATTTCGTGCTATACAAACAATTAAGGAGCCTGTCCCTTAAATTATAATACAAGCAAATTTGCTTGCGTTTATTTTTTAAACTCTAATTTTTTAATAAAATCTTAAATATTAATTTTAGCAATATACTTT